AAAGAGGCACCAGCCCCACCTCCATCATCCCAGCCAAGGCTTTGTCTACCTGGGTCTTAAACATCTCCAGGGATGGAGACTGCACCACCTGGACATAAGGAAGAATTTCTTTCCTGTCCGAGCCCCCAAGGTCTGGAACAGCCTGCCACTGGAGGTGGTTCAAGCGCCTTCATTGAACACCTTCAAGATGAAACTGGATGCTTATCTTGCTGGGATCCTATGACCCCAGCTGACTTCCTGCCCTTTGGGCGGGGGGCTGGACTCAATGATCTTCCGAGGTCCCTTCCAGCCCTGATGTCTATGAAAATCTATGATTCCTGGCCCACCCAAAATTTAACACCAACTGGCTGGCAGTGACAGCCACATCTCTAGTCAGGCAGCAGAGAGGGAGTCACTTGACTTCACAGCTCCTTGTAATCTGCCTGATTCCTTCTAAACTCTTCACTCCACAGGTGTTAACGTCCCCTCTCCTTTTTAATGGTCTTGGTGCTCCACCAATCAAGCAAGCCGTTGTTCTGCCATGCTGCTGCCTGTTGGCTGCTCCTGGTCATGGACCTCCTATTTCACAGCCCTGCAGTTTGTTTTTTAACTCTTGTTTTCTGCCATGTGTTTGGAGGCCATGAAGTTACATTTGTTTGGGCTTCGATGTTAACTGGGATAATGCAGCCCCAAGCCCCTAGCCTGTTAATCAAGCTTATTTTTACCAGAGTGGTTTTAGATGTGAAGATGCATAGATATATGAAATCAATGTCCCTCACCATCTGCAGCCCCCTCTTCAAAATTTCAGCTCTGCCCAGGACAATGTTGATGCTTTGACAAAATTTGTAGCTTCTTGCAGTTTTTAACCCACTAGTTAAAGGTGTTTAGGACCCGACTAGACAAAGCCTTGGCTGGGATGATGTAGTCAGGGCTGGTCCTGCTTGGAGCAGGGGGTTGGACTAGATGTGAGGTCCCTCAACCCTAATTTTCTATGGTTCTCTTATTCTATGAGAGCACGTTTAGAGCCTTTATACCAGTGTTATACACCAAATAGCTACAGAAACCAATTAGATGCTAATGATTCCAGAAGAAAACTAATCACCAGTCACCGTGGAGCTCCCCGTTTCTCTGTACCTGACCTCACTACCCTTGCATGTGTCCCAGTTGGTTGCCCCCTTATCCCTTCAAACCTCCCTGTCTTCCTCGGGGCTGTGTCACATATCATCTTCCAGGGGGCTAGAGAATGAGTAGCCCTGTTAGATCAATGGACCCATCCCTCTCTCTAGCCCCTGTCTCCTGATAATACGAATGAGCTTTGGCTAAGGGTGCATCTCTGCAGCAGGGACAGCTGTATCTGCAACAGGGATATCCAAGATATGGCCCATAGGCTGGATCCGGGTTGCAGAGCCCTATGCTCTCGCCAATGGTGTTGCTCACCAGTCAGGGACTGGACCTGGCATGCTGCATGCAATGCATGCCTGGACTGGTCCCAAGTGTTGGATCCAGTGCGCACACTGCATGCAGCACACGCAGGGCTGGACCAGCACACTGCATCCATGCTGGAAAGTCCCATGTGTCGGATCTAGCACGCAAGGGCTAGTCTGTGGGCCTGATTCAGCCTGCAAACCAACCCCACACCACTCATCTGGCCAGTGCACCAGCCCCGTGCTACTCATCTACCCATCAGGGTTGCATGAGTTTGATCCCCCTGCTTTAGCATCCTCTCCTGGTAGGTCAGGACTGGGCCTGCATGAGAAACCATGGATGTATCCCACAGCTGCCCTGGAGATCCCAGGGTGCTGCTCTTGAGCCCACCTGATCCTATTCTAGAGGAACCACATCCAGAAATCAGGCCGCGTGGAAGCTCCCGGCGTGTCCCGCACCCCTGGTCTTAAGCTCCCTGTCCCTGGCATGCCTGAGAATGGGGACAGGGACCTCCGTAGAGTGGCTTCAGGTCAGGATTTGATCTCTGTAGGGTGAGAGCAGGTTGAGCGGGTGAGCTGGAGAGAGGGTGCTGCCCGGACCCTCCAGGAGCACATCTGCCAGGAGCAAGCAGGGGAGATTATGCTCAAGGGCAACCAACATGGGTTCAATAGAGGCAGGTCCTGTCAGACCAACCTGGTGGCCTTCTACGACCAGGTAACAAAATCCTTAGATGCAGGTGTAACAGTGGACAGTCTTTCTGGATGTTAGGAAGGCCTTCGACACTGTCTGTCACACCGGTCTCATTAAAAAATTAGGCAACTGTGCTGTTGATTCCTACACAGTCAGATGGGTCACTAACTGACTGGAGGGATACACCCAGAGAGTGGTGGTGGATGGGTCTTATTCGACCTGGAGGGATGTGGGCAGTGGGGTCCCCCAGGGCTCGGTCCTCAGGCCCGCACTGTTCAACGTCTTCATCAGTGACTTGGACAAGAGGGTAAAAAGCACCCTGTTCAAGTTCGCGGATGACACTAAGATGTGGGGGGAAGTGGGCACACTAGAAGGGAGGGACAGGCTGCAATCGGACCTAGACAGGTTCCAGGGGTGGGCAGATGAGAACAGGATGGGTTTCAACACTGACAAGTGCAAGGTGCTGCACCTGGGAAGGAAGAACCAGCGGCAGACCTACAGGCTGGGGAACTCCCTTCTCGTCAGTGCAGAGGCAGAAAGGGATCTTGGAGTCATTATTGATGCCAAAACGAACATGGGCCAACAGTGTGGGGATGCGGTCAGGAAGGCCAAACGCACCTTGTCATGCATCCACAGATGCATCTTGAGCAGGTCCAAGGAGGTGATCCTCCCCCTCTACGCGACACTGGTCAGGCCACAGTTGGAGTACTGCGTCCAGTTCTGGGCACCGCACTTCAGGAGGGATGTGGACAGCATGGAGAGGGTCCAGACGAGGCCACCCACATGATTGGGGGCAGCAGGGCAGGCCCTACGAGGAGAGGCTACGGGACCTGAACCTGTTCAGTCTCCACAAGAGAAGGCTGGGGGGGATCTAGAGGCCGTTTACAAACTAGTCAGGGGGGACCAGCAGGCATTGGGGGAGTCCCTGTTCCCCCGAGCACTACCAGGAGTGACTAGAAATAATGGTCACAAGCTGGCAGAGGGTAGATTCAGATTAGACATCCGTAGGAACTACTTCACAGTCAGGGCGGCTAGGACCTGGAACCAACTTCCAAGAGAAGTGGTGCTGGCTCCTACCCTGGGGGTCTTTAAGAGGAGGCTGGATGAACACCTCGCCGGGGTCATTTGACCCCAGCATCCTTTCCTGACACGGCAGGGGGCGGACTTGATGATCTGCTCAGGTCCCTTCCGACCGGACCAACTATGAAACTATGGACCATCGGAGAAGCAGTACAGATATACCCTTCTGGGGAACAGAGAGGATCTCCAACCTTGAAAAACCCATTCTAGTTTGATAGGAAATGTGCTAATAGGGGAAAGCAGCTGAAGCAGGAGAGGAACGGAAATATCCAGTTTGTCAGAGGATCAGTGGAGCTGGACTCCGGAGGCACTGGCACAGGGGGTATTGCACACACCGGTGGTGGCTGCAATTCATGGAAGTAATCCCAGGTGTTTCCAACCTGTAAGTAACTGGCTGAAGGTCAGGCCAGGTAGACCTCCTCTGCTAAATGGCAGAAGCTCTTCATCCCCAGCCTCTCCAGATGTGTCTACACTGCGGCTCTGTGCAGACGGGCCAGATTCCCAGCTGCTGTGGATCAGCATGTCTTCACCAAAATCAATCAAGTTGGGCTGGTTTACCCCAGCTGAGCTTTAGCCCTTGGTGCATAGCAGCAAATGCTGAATGAACCAGCACTGGAGCGCTCTGTGCCCTTAGCAGCTAGGATAGGAGCTGCTTTCGGCTTGGGTGCAGAGCACTGAGATGGTCTGGCCTGGGTGCTGCAGAGTACTGATCACAGACTAGGAACAGATGCTGCATTTGTCTCTGGATTACTTGTACCTGCATTTATCCAGGAATAAAAATATCCTGAGATGGATGTGTACACCCAGCAGGACAGCTGAAGGCACCGCTGCTTTTCTGCCATTGCTTCAAGATGCAATCCCAGGATAATCATACATTGCAATATCCTCAGATAATTTAGGCAACCTCTTATTGGGGAAACTTTTCTTTAGGATTTATCCCAGAACAACAGGCATGACTGCACAGGATAAAATGGTTTATGCAAAGATCAAGACAATATCTACTTGCAGGCCCAGCCAGTCGGGCTCACACGACGTTGCTTTTCCAGGTCTGGCTCTCCTATCCTCTTTCTTGGCTGGGCTCTTTCCGTGTGACTTCCTTTGACGATGCTATTTTGGTGCCCTGCACTGGACAGCAGGCCAGGAGCAGATTCCTGGCTCCTCTTCCGCACTGCAAAGCCAGGCTGAATTACACAGGGGCACAAGAATGCAATGCCTCCCCCGTTGTATTTCCAGGCGCATCCATGCTCCTGGTTTCCTTTTGAACTAAGAGCATGGGGGTCAGTCTCGAGCATGCCACAGCTGTTTAAGAAATCAAAAAGCCTCACTCAGAAGCTGCTTGCACCAGCCAGCGCCTTCCAGCTCGCTCACGCACAGCCCCGATGCCAAGTGCACTGCCTGGGCCACTTGCCTGGGGATGAGGGAACATGCACGCTGTGCCCAGGGCTGGAGGAGTGCTGGTCAACAGCGCCTGGCTCGTAGGAGACGGGGGTCCCAAGCCGTGAGCAGGTTCCTCTCTGTGTATTAGGGGAGCCCGGCTGCCTGGACTGGAAGGGCTTGGACAGTGCTTTGCCATGGTGAGTCGGAGACGCTAGGGCAGGGAGGAGGGGGCTCTGGGATCGGGTCTGTCTTTCCATCAGAGCCTCATACAGTCAGGTCTGGATTAATGCACAGGCAAACTAGGCACATGCCTAGGGCCCTAAGTGAAGAAGGGCTGATTGTACATGTTATAATTATTGAGTGAAAAAAGAGGCATCTAAAAATTTCATCTTCAGAGTTTGTTCGCCTAGGGCCCGTTGAAGGGTTAATCCAGCTCTGGATGTACAGTACCGAGGGAGCAGGCTTGGCATTGCACAGCAATCACCGCATTTGGGGTCAGAAAGGGATTGTCGCCCCTTTGTCAGATTGGGGCAAACTTGGGAGGGCGGGGGGGGACTTTGGAAACTATTTGGGAGTGTGTCTGCATGGGCAGGAACCTTGGGTTTCGTTATGAGGGGAACGAGTGTATTTGCAAGCAGCCTGCCATGGGTTTGGAGACCTGTTTATTAAAATCAGCAAGTCAGCATAGCCCAGTGAATAAAGCATACAGCTATGGGTCCAGGAACCTTTGCTCTACTCCCGCCTGAGCTCCTGGGCAAGTTGCTCCATTGTGCCATGCCTCAGTTTCCCCATCTGTACTGTGAAGATAATCATTTTTAACCCACTTGTGTGAAACGCGGGAGAATTAGGATTGCAGAAGCCTAAAGGGAACAGGTGTGAACACTGGCTTTGTGGAGAAACAGACCCTTTCCAAAGCCATGAGATGCATCCTGAACAGAGTGGAGCTTCTGAGAGCATCAGCCCCCTTGCTGCTACATGTCAGGGGGTTGGTTTGGGGGGGTTTTAAGCCTTCTCCAGAGGCGCTGGGTGCTGCTGCAACCCAGGCTGGGGATGTGGACTGGGCTGTGCCAATGCTCCTGCTGGCACCAACCCCACAAGGTCCTGGATGGAGGGTCTTGCCCCTGAGCTCAGGCTTAGACTGATGCTGCACTGGGGTCAGGAAGGGATTTCCCCCCCGGTCAGACTGGTACAGACTGGGGGGGGTTTCCTTCTTCTGTAGCAGGGACACAGCCTCTGCCTGGGGTCACTCGAGTATATTAACAACTAGAAAATCAACAGAAAACAGAGCCTCTCTATAAACAATATCCCAGCCAAGCTGTGCTTGCTAAACCCCTGCCCAAGCCCAAGCAGGAAGGTCTTACAGTGCTTCTGCAAGATGTCCAGGCTCCGGCTCTGGTGGTCTCGAGAGGGAGGGATGCTCCAGCACTGAGGAGCGACTGCAGGGAGCAAGCTCCTATGCATTTTTTGTCAAGCAGACTTAGTAAGTACTGGCACTTGCAGAGGGCTGCTTTTGGCTGACCTTAGGAATTACAATGGGGCATAGGGGAGAAGATGGACCCTTAGGGATAGAAGAGCCTTATAGGTCAAAACCAGCACCTTGAATTGCACCCAGAAAGCTGCTGACAGCCTATGCAGACCCTGCAGCACTGGGGTGATGTGCTCCTGGGGACCCATCTCCATCACCAGCTGCAGCTTCCAGATGTTTTTTTAGGGGCAGCCCTATGGAGAGCACATTGCAGGAGTGTGGCCTTGAGGTTACAAGAGCACTGGTGATGGTCTGGGAGAAGGGACCACAGCCGTGCCACCCGATGGAGCTGGGGAAAGGCACTGCCAGCCGCGGTCCGCACCTGGAGATGCAGGTGCAGCAGAGGATCCAGGAGCGAGTGGTCTGCCACTGCCACCTCCTCTGTCTTGTCTGGATTCAACTTCAATCGATTCCCCCACATCCCATCCCCGACAGCAGCCAGGCGCTGAGACTGCGGGCCAGGGGGAGAGGCGCAGCAGAGGTAGAGCGGGGTGCCCTCAGCATCCTGACAGCACCACCCTCCGCACGGTCGTGCACAGCAGCCTCAGACACACATCGAACAGGACAAGGTGGACTGGGTGACCCTACAAGAAGGGTCCTGAGGGGTTTCTACTAGAAATCCTAGAGAAGTGGGGCTGGAAGGGACCTGCAGAGGTCACATGTAGTGCAAGCCCCTGCCAGAGGCAGGATCAGCCCTCTCCAAACCATCCTATCCAAATCCATTGTCTTAGCAAAACGACACCTAGGAACTACAGCCTTTCCCCATAGCAAACAGGACCTATGGGGAAAGGCAGGAAGAACTGGGATTGTTTGGCCCGGAGAAGAGAAAACTGAGGCAGTAGTTAGTAGGAAACTTCATGGTCCTGCTTGGAGCAGGGGGACTGCGAGGTCATGGTTGGCAGGGCTAACCGGACCTTGTCGTGCATCCACAGGTGCATCTCGAGTAGAGCCAGGGAGGTGATCCTCCCCCTCTATGCGACGCTGGTCAGGCCGCAGCTGGAGTATTGTGTCCAGTTCTGTGCGCCCCATTTCAGGAGGGATGTGGACAACATGGAGAGGGTCCAGAGGAGGGCCACCCGCATGATCCGGGGACAACAGGGCAGACCCTACAGTGAGAGACTGCGGGACCTGAACCTGTTCAGCCTTCACAAGAGAAGGCTGAGGGGGGACCTGGTGACCGTCTATAAACTCACTAGGGGGAACCAGAAGGGTTTGGGGGAGACGCTGTTTCCCCTAGCCCCCGCTGGCATAACAAGGAGTAATGGGCACAAGTTGATGGAGAGGACGTACAGATTGGACATCCGAAAAAACTACTTCACAGTCAGGGCGGCTAGGAGCTGGAACCAACTTCCAAGGGAGGTGGTGCTGGCCCCTACCCTGGGGGTCTTTAAGAAGAGGCTGGATACTTACCTGGCTGGACTCATTTCAGTCCCCTTTATGTTTTTAGGGGTTTTTGTTGTTCTCCCGCCCTGGCGGGGGGTCGGGCTAGAAGATCTATTAGGTCCCTTCCGACCCTGAAACTATGAAACTATGAAACTATGACTGGACTAGATGTGACCTCCTGAGGTCCCTTCCACCTGAATTTTGTATGATTCATTACAAAGAGGACTGCAATCAACTGTTCTTTGTGTCACCCGGGACAGGACAAGAAGGAACAGGCTGGAATTACAACACAGGTGATGTTGGTTGGAGATCAGCCAATTAGCAAAATGACGCAGTCCCATCACCACCCACTGGGACCTCCCTGCTGGGAAAGGGCAGGACCCATTTAGAGCTGCCCCCTCAACACCCATCAGGTGTTGTAAGCGCTTGATCCGCATCTGAAGGCCGAGACCACAGAAAGACGAAGATCAGCAGGGCACAATTTCCCCTATCGCCAGGCAGGGATCATCATCCAAGGCCACTAGTGCAGTCTCCCTATCCAGGACAAGTGCCAGTCTGACAAGGGTCCAAGCAACCGATGGCATCCAGATGAGCCTGGCACTGCTAGGTGACCCCCCCCCCCGGCAGTGACCTTCCCCAGACAAGGCAATACCAGGCTGGGGATTCAGTGTCAATCGACGGGTCCTTGAGCAGGGGCCAGATAATTGCAGAGTTATGCCAAGATCTAGCAAAGCTAAGGACTTGGGGAGTAGCAGGCTTCGCTGATAAAAGACGCAGAGAGCAAAAACACCGGTTCAAGAATAAAACCCACAGCTGAATAACTTGAGGGGTGCTCTGCTAGCAGGGGTGAGCTGGACTCAGCAGGGAGCGAGCTGGAGATACCCAGACTCGGCGGGGAATGTGGCCTGATGCCCAACCTCGGCAGGAGGGAGCTGCAGGCAAGGAGACAACAAAAAGGACATGTTGGTAGAGAGAGACAGAGAAGAATTGGCACAAGGCGAAGGCAGCTCAGCTATAAATACAGGGGTTGTGAGACTCGCCCTTTCGTAGTGACTTAGGGGGCATCAGCTGCACGCCGTACATTGCTTACCCCTGTCTGGGCAGTTTTGCTGAGCCGGGCTCATTGCTGGACAGACTCCCTAGTCCGAAGAGACAGTGACCCTCTCCCAGCATTTGTCGCCGAACATGGATTCGAGTCGTCTTTTCTGCATCCAAGAGGCAATGCCCCGAAACAAGCCGCCTGAACAGCCAGAGCCAGAAAAGCTCCCGCTCCCGCACCCGCATCTCACAGCACCGTGCACATGCACACATTTTTTTTCCAGGACTTGAGCAAGGTGGAAGGAGATTGCATTGGAGCTAAAGACAAGCTGTTCTTGGTTGAGTTGGGTATCACGTGGAGCACGGCACCCAGTTTTGGGCCCTGGACTTCAGGAAGGACACGGGCCCAGTTGGAAAGAGCGACAAAAACGGTGAGAGGTCTTGGAAACAGGAAACCCAATCTGGGACTGTTTAGCGTGGAGAAGAGAAGGCAGAGGGGAGATTTAGTAAGTCTTCAGATACACAGAGCATTACAAAGAGGATAGCGACCCACTGTTTTTTGCATCTGCTGGGGCTGGGCAGGAAGGGACGGTCTGAAATTACAAGATGGGTGGTGTTGGCTGGAGGTTAGGAAGACTGTCTTTGTGCTGAAGGCAGGAACAAGCTGCCCAGGGAGGTTGTGAAATCTCTCCCCGAGTTAGACAAACCCTGGGATGGGCTGCTTGAGATGGAGCCGGTCCTGCCTTGAGCAGGGGGCTGGACTCAATGGACTCCTGCTGTGCTATGATTTTATGTTCACCTTAAAACCTAAGCGGTGCCCAGATGTTCAGAGCAGCTGGGGGAAGAGAGCAAAACGATGCAGTTCACCCTGACACGGCACCAGACATCACACCTGAGCCTGGCACAGCGAAAGCAGGCGGGGCTGCAGCCGCCAGCATCCTGCTTCTATCAAAAAGTTGTTCATATATGCTTAAAAGATCCCAGGTAAAGGGCTTTGCCCCCTGCTCCTCCTGCTTGGGTGCTGGCTGGGGATGGGGACCAGGCTGTGCCAATGCTCCTGCTGGCACCAACCCCGCAGGGTCCTGGCGAGAGGACTTTTGATGCTGCAAAATCTCCCAGTCTGTACCAATCTCCTTTCCTGACCCCAAATGCATCGGTCTGAGCAGAGGGGCAAGACCCTCTAGCCAGGACCCTCCAGCAGTAAGTCCCAGCGGGAGCATTGGTTATTGTGATCCATCGTGCTAGGTGCTG